GTTCTTAATGTGAAGTCAACATTAGAGGGATTAGTAGTTACTTTCAGGCAAAGGGACTGAGTAAGGTGCATGTTGAAATCTTGGTGGGCAGCTTGAAAATCTCAGCTCCCAGGAACACATTCAATGTTATTGTCCTAGTTTTTGGTGCCCAATACTCCTCAATTCCGCTTTACAAACTTGTAGTATCTACTTGTTCCTAGGCTATCCCTCTCTGCAAGGCAAGATGCCGAAAAGGAGGAGGACGCGTGTTGCCAGTCGACCCGCACATCCTATTAGGATGAGCGCCTCTCAGGGCCATGGGAGTTTCTCAAAAAGGGGGTACCCTAGGGACCCCAGGGGATATATAGGGATTATATGGGGATTATGGGGGTCCTTATTAGGGATTGTATAGGGATAATATTGAGAAATACACCCATGACTCTCCGGTTCTGGTGACAAACAGCCGTAGGATTATGCTGGAGCATCGTGCGTTGCGCCAAAATGAGGACACACGCAAGATTCCTAGGGATATGTATGGACCACCAGGTCACCAGGGATGGTGGGCGTTGCTACTACATACAATTCAGGGAGCTGAAGTGGGCAAGGCCCATACAATCTTGCATGATCGTCTTTGGCCGCATGGGTCCTCAAAAATGGTACGTATAAACTCTAAACCCAAGACCGTGAGCCCTAAACCTTCAACCCTAAACCCTAGACCATAAGCCCTAAACCTTAAACCCTGAACCCTCGACCATGAGCCCTAAACCTTGGTTCTCTGGATGTTCAAGGGGTTTCTGGCGACGACCTCTTTGCTTTCGGGTTGCGGGTATGCGAACCACTAGTACCAGAGCTCTGTCTCCGAGCAAAGGTATGCAAAATTGAACGAAGAACCAAGGAGGTCATACCCCACTTTATGCCACGCGGTTAAGGGTTTAGGGTTTAGGGTTCCATCAAGGGAAGGAACCAAGACTTCACAAGCCTCACATCCCTGAAGCCCGACTGCACCCTTCCTTGTCTGAGAAGCGTAAGGTGGCGCTCCGTAAACTCATCAGCTTCACTGCTGCCTCAGTGAAAGGTTCATACAAACAGCTCCCTCAACCTCCAAACCCTGATCCATATGCACATGTGCACATATATGCGTACCACTCTATATGCAAATATATCATATGTAAAGGGCCCTTAACTAATTTTGTGTTTCGCCCAATGTGTGCATATGGGTCGAAACTCCACTCTGGCTGTCGCCAAAAGGGCGGACCAAGTTGCACAGGAGCAAACGACGATCAGCGATCCGTAGGTGTACACCGTGTAGACCTTCCGAATCACTGCATCATACTTTAGGACGACCCCCCACCCTGTAATAGTAGAAAATGCGTATATAAGAGGACCCTAACATGATCCTCTTTTTCCACTATAATGACTATGACTGGGTGGGGGGGTCCACCTAAATCATACTGTAGTCGAGAAATTGCAAGGAATCCAATGCCTGGATCCTTTATGACTGAAAAGCAGCACTGCCAAACACATCTTCGGCCCTCAGGTGACCCAAATCCAACGGAAGCCCACCCAGTGTGGAGAGCCCTCAGGTGCCAGGCAAAGGATATAGACTCAAAACGTTAACATATGAGCCATTGTCTAAATTCCTAGTATACCCCTGAAGAACCCCTGTAGTAGTTCCTTATACAATCCCCTAGATCCTACCCTTTAAGGAGTGTAGACTGTAGCTCGTATCTGCGCAGTATGTAGGATCTACCCAGGGCCACCTTGTTGTTTACATTGGGCTTTAAAATCATTACATTATAACTACCCACAAAGGTTAGCGGCTGTCCACTGGACAGCTACTCTAAAAACTTGAACAACAAGGCAGCTAACGCTTAGCTTTCAAATGACACCTGATGGAACACACGGTTTTTGCCACGTTCATGCCGAGGCAGCGCGAGGCATCATCCGGGAAGCATGACGGGTCTCAAAAGGAAGCGCTCACTCCAAGAACCAAACAGTAGCTTCCATTTGCTTTTCCACTATCCGAAATACATCCCCTTTATGCCTAATCTTGGGAAACCCTATAGTCGCCCTTAAGTAGATAGAATATGGCAAATGCGGAGTCTATGCCCTAAGCCCCACCTGGACTACAAAAGCAGGTAACATAGTAGTACGTACCCTTAGAGTCCAGGCTTTCTCCTTACTTGGGGGGTAGGAAGACTTGCCAAGTAAGCAGGTCAACAATGGGGGTGACTAGGGGTTATTATGTAGCTGATATGGGTCGTAAGTATACTTACTAAGTCCCCCTGACCTCCCTAAACTCTAAACCCTACCCCTAGAAGCCCTGAACCCTAAACCCCAAACCCCAATCCCTAAACTCTAAGCCCTGAATCCTAAACCCTAAACCCCACTCCCTAATCAAACCCTGAGCCCTGAACCCTAAATCCTACCCCCTTGAAGCCCTGCACCCGGTAGTGGCCTGGGCATCGCGTTGATCCTTCGTCAGGTGCTTCACGTCCTCACGCATTGAAGTGTTAGGGATTGGGATTTAGGCTTTGGGGTTTAGGGTTAGGGTTCAGGATAGGATTGATTTGGGAATTATAAGGGTTTAGGATGGCTTATGGTTTAAAATCTAGGGATGGTCTACTTGGTGGATCTTGGGGGGTCAGCGGGACTTCGCAAGTAACCTATTTACTTAGTCTTACTTAGCCCCCCAAACCCTTCAAGCAACTAATCTTTGGGACCTATGGTGCGTTGTTTTCAGGTTAAGTCTTAAGATACACAGTATGGTTTAGGGTTTTGGGCTCCCCTCGGAGCTCAGTATCGAGAGCTCCTTGAAATGGGTCACAAGTAAGGCACGCATAGGTTCCCCGGTCGAAATTGAAACTTCAGCGAGTTCCTAGGACAATACACAAAAAGGAAGGAAGGATTCCTCATGTTCTGAGGCAAACCTCCTAAGGCCCTACTGCACGTGCCTTAAGAACATCAGGAGTACCTATCAGTACTGCCACGACTTCAGAGACTACAGTGCGTTGGGCTTCATAGCCCTCATAGCCATGTTCTATAGCAGTTTGATGGGGCCTCTCCACCTAACTTGGCCTACGCTTGTCCTGAAGATAGGCCGAAAGGTGCGGTTCCGAAGGTTTGAAGCTCAGGAAGAAGATGAAAGCCGCGCACTGCGCAAAAACCGCGCGCGGAGTCATGCTACGACCACGGACCAAAAGTGCTGTAGCACTGCTCATGCACTTGCTGGCCGTGCAGCGTGTGATGTGGGTGAGTATTGGAGTTGTAGGCAGTAGGTATACTACTGCAGTGGCGCATCGCCCTGAAGTTCTGGCCACTCGTTTGCGGAGCTGCCCCAAATTGCTGCGGCGTGTTCTCGTGCAACCAACTGCCCCACAATCTACCAAGAGGATTCGGTTATGCCCAGCACTGCATGCAGTCTCACTAGTTCAGTATTCCTTATCCAACCTTCACTAGTAAGACTCCCATTCGGCGACAACCATTGCTTCTTCTACTACTGCTCCGCGCCACAAGCTGGGACACCTACACATCGAAAGGCTTTACGTCGTTATGGGGCTACGCATCACCCCTGGCACAGGCGCTATAGGATTCTCCAAAACCACCAACTACCCAGCACCTCGCCAACTACTGCTGCATACCATGCTCGAAAGCGATCTGTGCCTTGGACATGGCCTTTCTGTACTCACGCGCCGTGAGGGTTTTGCTATGTGCAGGCAGGAGGGGGCTGTAGCCTGCCTTGCACAAGCCATCATCATTCGATGCAAAAAAGTCAGCTTAGCTGACGCAGCCAGGGCACGTTAACGCATGCAACTAAACAAGCAACCCGAACAAAGTCTTCCGAAGACATGTTAGATTAAATATTGTCCTCGGTTGGTCTGGTCAAAACAGAGAAGGGATGTTTCAATTGAAATCATCTTCGACTTTGGCAGCTGCATAATGTCGATGGTTCCCCTTTTGTCAGATATCGACGTCCTTCGTGTTTGAGACCTTCGTCTGCTGCTGCGCCGTGAAGGCTCCGAGCGCGACCGTCGCCTTGCCGGCTCCGGGTGTCCTGGCTCGGATGTCGCCGGCTCAGGCCCTCCTTCCAAACATAGCCTCCTGTTTGGGGGTCAGGGGGACTTAGTAAGAATGGAAAAGAAGCTCGAAACTACTATAGATTTTAGGGTTTAGGGTTCAGGGTCAGGGGTGATTAGACAGTAGGTTAAAAGGAGGATTTTCTGTGGCGTACAGGGGTTCATGAGCCTACTTACAATGGCCCTCTGACCCTCCCAGTGGGAGCTTCTCAAAATCTACGTTAGTAGAAACCAAACACTACTCTTACATGAGAGCAACTAGTACCTATAACTACCTATAGGAGACTATATGATATTGCCTGCTGATACCCTGGAGTTTCCCATACCTCTGCTCCAAGCAGTGACTCTTGGGATCTTGGGACATTACATTTTTAAGCACTGCGTCCAGGAAAGAATGCTTTTCAGGATCTGCTTCTTTATTACTGTTACTGTTATTACTATTACTATTATTCGTACTATTGATAGTCCATCTTTTTCTATGGTTAAAGTTTTCTTGCTATTGCTATGCGATTGCTTTTCTTATCCTTGTTGTTGCTATTATTGTTGCCATTTCTACTTTGAGACGGGCTGTCCTTGCTGGCAGACTCTTGATGGCAAGCCGGACTTGGTCGGCTGCATCCTCATAATATCTGTGCACGGCTTCGTCGTCCACATGAGTTAAGGTCCAGGACGTATTAACAGCCCTGCTGCCAGCATAATCCATGCCTACAGCTGTTACAACCAATGGCAGGCTCTTAGAGAAGCGGACACACAACGGGGACGAGTAGAAACGGACATCCTCTTGGATCCCGTTCGGCCGTTTAAATGTCAGCTTGATGCCACCAGTTGCCTTCTGCGAGTCATCAATCCTGGGCTCTGGATGGGGAACAGATTCAGGAAGCACCGCCGGCGCAGCTATAAATTGGTCAGCGAGGAGCGGATGTTCTTCGACTTCTGTTCGGCGTTCAGCGCAGCTCGGGATGTCATGCTGCTGATGCTTTTGTAACACAGCGCATTCCTTGTCCTCCGTCTGAGGCCCACTTGCAGGATCTCTAAGATCTGTGAACCAGTAGCTATCTGCCGTCATGCGCTCGCTGGACATCTTTGCCTGAATGGACTCAACCTGAGCTTGCGGCAGTTTCTCCGTCATCTGGCAGCAAAGACAGACCGCCATAGCAGTAGGCACTGGCACAGTTCACCCCCGGCCCCAGCATCTGTGCGAGCTAAGCTGCTACTGCGCTGAGGAGAACGGCGAAAAAAAGCAGAAGTTTGATTCTTGCTCGGAAGCTTTAAAGCCCGTGGATGATGCAAGGGGTTTAGGGTTCAGGGTTTAGGGGGGAAATGGGTAGACATTGGGGTAATATTAGGGTTCTATTGGGGTTATATGGGGATAATGAAAATAAACTGGAAACTACTATTTAGGGTTTAGGGCCACAATCTCCTGCTCAAGCCCGATTATACTTACATGTGAACCTCCAACTGGGGTATAGCTGGTAAAGCGTAGTCCAGGGTCGCCTTGCCACGCCGCTACACGGTGCGGGGGAGTGTTGACAGACTAGGGGGGGTACATAGACGGAAGTACCTACGTTGCTTCTTCGCGCTTCAGAGAGCCACCTGAAGACTGAATCAATGGTAGCAAGATTAACACAGCTTTTAAGCACGAATCCTGTCTGTGTGTGCGGGCTTGACAGTTCATGACGGCTCCACACCTGCCAATCAGTCATCTTGGGACTGCCATTTCTGTTTCTGTTCCGTTCCTTCCTTCAGCATTCTAAAATAAAACTCTGCTGCAGCTTCTGCCGTTCCATCCTAAACCCTAAGCCCTAAACTGCAGTTTCCCTGCTTCGGCCCCTGCCACACGCTTTGCGGGAGGTTTTGGGGCTTCTCCGCCAGGAGCTGTGCCAGCCTGAAAGATGGGGCAGGATCCAAACAATGTGCCATTTGCAGGTGGGGTGCAGGCGAACTAGTGTTTGGGGTTTTGGGTTTAGGGGTGTTCCAAGAATGATCTTATTCTACGGTATACCATAATTCCCAAGGTAATAAGGCTTAGTATAAGGTACTTAAGATCATGCAGGATTTTTACTGTCCCGTCTTTGAGTTTTGGTTCTACAGGTCCAGCATCATAGCACAAACAAATAGCACAAGGATGTGCCCGAGGGTTGAAAACTGAAAGTGGTACCCCCTGACCACATGAGAAATGCGCAGACATGTTAGATATGCTTTGCTCGGGCTCCTACATTAGAATAGAGCCCAGTTCAGGAAGCAGTCATTCCCAGCTGGGGCTTCAGACTTATTCCGATATGCAATCCTGATGTAATCCCCTAGACCTACTATGAACAACGAATATCTTAAATACTTCCTTGGGGTTATACTAGAATACAAAGGAAACAATTCTCGAGGTTTCTGGCGAGACGGCGTCTCTTTTTTTGTAACCTAGTGGTTCCAACAACAAACAAATTCCAAGAGCGAGGGCTCACGGCCACAGCAATGGTAAGAACCATCACGACTCACATCTATCAGCTTCTTTCGATGCAGCGATGGCAGGTAACTAAAGCATGTGAAAGAACAAAGCATTCCGAACCCTAAACCCTATATGACTCTATATATCCCCTATAGTGGATAACAAGGCACTGTGAAAGAACAAAGCATTGGGAACCAGCTGACCGCACTTCTTACGACCGAGCTCCCCGGCATCTGGCACCATTCCGGGGAAGGCCATTGGGTGTGCAAATCCTTGGTACTGTAAGCCAATATTGACAAATCCCCTCCTCTTATATGGATTATAATGGGGATCTGAATGTTAAGGGCCCTAAAGGAAGAGGGGTTACTAATCACGGGTCTACAATGTTGCTGCTTGCGGGGTTAGGGCTAGGCCTCATAATGTCTCACCCATTAGTACCATTATCTGCTGTGATCACTACTAATCGTTGGGGGTTCTAACCCAAGGTTGGAGGTTTAGGGTTTAGGTTAGGTACTGCCCCTCCTCAGTAACAGTTGGATAATAAACTTAATATGGTTACATATAGCACTTAATAGGACCCTAATGTAGGGGGGGCAATACCCAAGGTTTAGGGTTTCGGGCCTATGGTGGGCGTACTTCTGGTACCACAACTCACCTCCTGAGCCCTTGCAGCTGTACCTTGCAACTATCTTCATGTGCGGCACAAACACAGGCCTCCAAACAAGCTTCTACGTTGTGCTAGCAACATCGCGGCTCTGTTTTCCACCCAATGTGGCCTAAGAATTTACCTATATAATTTTGAGGTCTACTGGAGGCACCTTATACTACGATTGTAGAAAAATCAAGGACCACATTTTCAGCAATTTGCTCCCAACATCCAAAACCTCCACTGAAACTACTGGAACGATTACAGGCCCCCCGCCCTGGGCCCCCACAAAGTCTTAGGGACTTCTGTTTTGGGCACTATTTAGGATAATTTCGGTTTATTAGTTTGGGGTGGGGGGGGCGCATGCTGGAGTAGTTTCTTAACCCTAAAGTTTGAAATCCTTTGCCCCAAACAGTAAATCCTAAACATCCTAAACCCTAAATCCTGAACCTTAAATAATCCTAAGCCCTAAACCAAAGTCTTATCTGTATCAGAAGGTGACTGAGGCTTGGACCGGCGGCTGAAGGGTTGAATGGCAAGGCAGGTAGGCCTCGGATGCGCTTCTGGGGATTCAGGGCTTGGGGGTTCTGGGGTTGAGGGTTTGGGAGTTTAGGGGTTGTGGGTTTAGGGTTTAAGGGGCTTATGGGAATATATACAGTTGTGATTGCATGGGGGTACTACATTTTTGAGATATCACCAAAAACAACCGAGAATCGAATGGGAAGGAAAATCAAAAACCCGGAAAACGAGTTGTCATACATACATATGGGGGATGTCCCAGATTACTTTCTTTTTGTCGTCTATGAGCACCCGCTATGGCCATCATGAACCCATTTACTAGGTCCCCCTGACTCTCCAAGCGAGGATTCTGCTTTGGGGGTTTTAGGTGCAGAAGGTGCAAAGTAAGGGTTTCTGGTCTCAAGCCCTGAAAAGCCCGTGGGTCTCCGATTTGTTTTTTGAATCTCTTCGTCCCTCACTCAGTATTAAAACCCTCACGCCGTCCAATATCAAGTATTCCCAGCATGGTATACTATAGGATGTTGGGAATGTTTAACATTAGGCGGCGGGACGTTTTGATGCTTAGGCAGGCGATTACAATTCCTTGGCATCCATGTGACATTCTCAATGCAGACGCTTACTGACCGCAGTATGTTCGCAATGTCCGAGATGCAGGCAAGGCCTTGTAAGGTGCACCGTGTTTGAAGGTGGCTTCCTACACAAGCCCCGTTTTACTTTCAGGTGTATATTTCCTTGTAAGTGCGATTTTTCCGTATTGGGGTAATACCCCTAACATCCCCTAACCATATCCCTACAAAGATTCCACATATCCCTTCAATACACCCCAGAATCTGAACATGTATGTGCTGGGTACCAGGAATTTCTGCAGCCCAGCTGCCCTGCGGCATGGGCATGCCAGTGTTGGGGTCCTTCACAGGTCTTTGCCACTTGCAATGTACTATAATATTCTACAATATACGATAATCTGCCATAATATACTATAACACACTGTATTATACCATAATATACATAATATACCCCAAACTCTGAACCCGAAACCCGAACGGAGCAAGGTTCAAATCCGGTATAGAAACTCATGCGGGCAAGCTTAAGCACTTCCCAAATGTCCCCTAATAAGCGAACCAACCCAGATTGCGACAGGAAGACTACGCTGAAACTCTGGACTAAGCTGCCTGCCTGGTTGTCACCCAACTAACTCGTTCGGTGACAACCAGGCATTGTCACAGCTGCAGCATTTAGGGTTTACGGCAAGGAACAGTTGTAGCTTGCCTCGTACTACATAGCAGGATGGATCTAGACTCTCAGCAGAGGCAACACTTGCCTCCTTCTAGCAGAGAATCTTCGGCGCTCATGCAACTGAACAATTGTAATACACAGGGAAACTCTCATCGTAGGAATTGTTAGAGCGCTTGAAGACTCAGTCCAGGTTCAAGTTGAATTCATCCATGCCATGCATAGCTCTCCTTCAATATTGGAAAGGGCATGGGCTGCTGTGCCCTCCTCTCGACGACCTGGCAAGAGTTGCAGTTACAGTTGCCCCAACTTTGGGAAACCCTTGGGCCATTCCTCAATGTACTATCTGCTCTAGAAATGCCTGAAGTGTCACAGAAAGCTCCGGGCAGATTGCGTTCCATGGTTCTACCCCGAAGTGAACTCCAGTCCGGTCCTCTGCTTTGAAGCTACATGAAAACCAGCCCTCGCAGAATAACAGTCTCTAGTTACCCACAATTACAGGTTCACCTAGCGGACTGACTGTTAATTAGTCGTATGGGGGGCAAAACGGGCACAACCTATGAGCCCTGAAACTAGACGCCCCCAACCCCAAACCCTAAACCCCAAACCCTAAACCCCAAATCCTAAACCCTAAAGCCTAAAACTTAAACCCTACTGGTCTCTGTTTGACGCCGAGGTGACTGCAAAGAAGCACAGATATATAGTCCCTTCAGTAGATAGAATATGGCTTTGGGTACATCATACTAAGATCCCCATATACCCCATATTCTATCTACTTAAGGGGGAATATACATGGAGCTCATACCCTTGTCAAGGATTTCGTGGAAAACTAGGCCATGGTCCACCGAGCACTTCTTCCATGAGCCAAATTATCCCTTGGGGACTGCCCCCCCCAAGTAACAGTCTATATAAGGGGTCCTATTAAGGGCTATATAAATCCATATTATAATTGTTATCCAACTGTTACTGAAGGGGGGGCAGTACCCAAATTATCCCTGCTACTATGTACCCGATGAACCTCTTTGAGGAGCTCCCTCTCATGACGTACTCGGTCGAGCCTTGCAGCTAGGGTCTAGGGCTTGGTATTACTTTGAGGGTCAGATGAACTTAGTAAGTAGGTTCGTATGCGAGATAAGTGGGGATAATATATTGCTTATTAGCTTATTGGTGGGTTTTCACTTGCTAACTTTATCTTTTGAACCTCCCAAAACCACAATTTTCTGCAAAATGGTCCAGATGGATTGACTTCATGCGCACAATATTGCTACAGTTACAAGATTTGCGTGGCAAAGGTTACAGGGAGGGAGCGAGCAGT